AGGCGCCAGGCGACCCAAGCTGGAGGTGGGCCAGGCCTTGCTGGACCCTCTCCGCCGGGGAATGGTGCCGCTGCGGTCAGGGCCTTGTTGGCTGCCCTGCCTGCATGCGGAGCTGGCGCTGCAGCTGCCTGTGTTGTCTGGATTCCTGCTCTAGGGCCTGGGCTGGGCTGGGCTCCAGTAGGGATGGAAAGTCCCAGTTAACCGGTTCCACGTTGGGTTGACCTAGTGTCTAACGGGGTGAAGTGAGATCCGGTGTGGGGGCAGCTCCAGCCTGGTTAGAGCAGCCCCCAGTGCCATGGCAGGCAGGAAGCTGCTCCAGACCCCACCGGTGAACTGGAACCACTAAGCTTCCCCGGGTTAGGGTGCTGGATGACCTTTCGCATCCCTGGTCTCGGGCAGCTGGCTCCTGCCCCCAGCCTGGGAAGAAGGGCGAGGTGGTGTGCGGAGGGAGAGCTGCTGCTTTGCACTGTCCTCTCTCTCCTCTCCCCCCCCCCCCCCCTGCCTGGATTCCCATGTCTGGCTCTCTAAACAGGAGTCTTACCGCTCCCAGCTCCTCAGCCTGGCTCTGAGGATGGAGAGCTGCTTTCAGCTGCACAGGGCCCAGGCATCCGCCAGGGTAGCAGCATCGCCCCATGCTCAGCAACCCTAGACGGGGGTGCATGTGTCATCTGGCTCTGCAGCCTTGTAAAAACCTCCCAGGTTCAGAGCAGGGCTTCCCTTGGGACTCCAAATGGAGACTCCATGTCACTGGCGAGTCGCAGCCAATAGACGGGGGAGAGATCTAGGCTTTAAACGCTAAACGCCTCCAGGAAAATTTTAGCAGCTGGACCAGGCAAAAGGGGATCTAATCTTGAGACTGTTTCACTGACTATAAATCCAGGAAGTGGCAGGAATAGCGCAGCCAAAAAGAGCCAATTTAGTCATCTGGGGACTTACAACAAGGTAAATTCTTATTAATGGCTGGCAAGAGCCGTTTCTACCCCGATTAACCCCTTAAATGGATCCCTCAGTCAGTGAGCTAGCGGGCTTGGGTCAGGGTGTGTGTGTGTGGGGGGGGTAGGTGTGTTCTTTTGAGCCTCTCCCCTGTCAAGGTGAAGTTCGTATGCCAAGGTGAGGTGTTAAAACCTCGGAAAATTCCATTCTCTAAACCAGTGTTTCCCAATTTTATTTGGCTACGGAACACTTTTCAGCTTAAAATAATTTCAAGGAACCCCTAGGGTTCCCAGGGTAAAATTTGGCAAGAAAACCCCAAAACACACACAACCCAAACCCGTCAATTGGTCGAGCAAAAAAACCTGCAAAATATACTGTCTCTAAGAGTAAACCCCCCCTAAAAAACACACACACAACCCAAACCCATCAGAATTGGTCGAGCAAAAAAACCTGCAAAATATACTGTCTCTAAGAGGGGGTGTTCTTTTGAGCCTCTCCCCTGTCAAGGTGAAGTTCGTATGCCAAGGTGAGGTGTTAAAACCTTGGAAAATTCCATTCTTTAAACCAGTGTTTCCCAATTTATATACTGTCTCTAAGAGGGGGCGGGGCAATGCCACATTCTCGTGGAACCCTTACTTTCCTGGAAAATTCCATTCTTTAAACCAGTGTTTCCCAATTTTAATGGCTACGGAACACTTTTCAGCTTAAAACGGAAAATTCCATTCTCTAAACCAGTGTTTCCCAATTTTATTTGGCTACGGAACACTTTTCAGCTTAAAATAATTTCAAGGAACCCCTAGGGTTCCCAGGGTAAAATTTGGCAAGAAAACCCCAAAACACACACAACCCAAACCCGTCAATTGGTCGAGCAAAAAAACCTGCAAAATATACTGTCTCTAAGAGGGGGCGGGGCAATGCCACATTCTCGTGGAACCCTTACTTTCCCTTCGCAGAACCCCGGGGTTCCACGGAGCACCAATTGGGAAACACGGCTCTAAACCAATGCCAAGTACATTACCTCACCCTGTCTCAAAGGTTACTGCAGGACCAGGGAGGCTTCCAAGAATGAGGGCCCTGGGAGACCCTGGTCTGCAAGCCTCTCATGAGTGAGAGGGGACGTCTGTGCTCTAGAGGTGGTAGTGAGACGTCTCGCCTGTCTCGTGGCACAAGACCAAGGGACGTTCAATCATAAAGGCAAAACCGATGAAAGGAAATGCTCCCGCACGATGTCATTGGGCCTCACTGCTACAGGCAGGCACTTGGGCAAAGACCTTAAATTTCCAGGTGAGGCCTGGACCTACCAATGCCAAGTACTTAAATTTCCAGGTGAGGCCTGGACCTGAGATGCTCAAATATCCAGACTTGGTACCAACAGCTGTTGGAAAGGTTTGAAGTCTGTATCTAGATAGAAGCTGAGGAGAGCTAATGGAGAGGGTACTCTCTCTCCCCGCCTAATGCTGGGGCCGATTTCAGAAGAAGGCTGTCTGGCCAGCACTGGAAGTTGCCGAGATGCGGTTCCAGGCGAAAGATCTGGTTCAATTTGACTGCTCCGGTCCCTAGCCTAAAAATGTTCCATGATGTTCGTTCTTCATGGAACCTTCCAACTTCTGTCTTTGCCAACCCGCGGGTCAGACAAGCCCAATCACCCCTTTCTCTTCCAGAGCGGCTTCCTCCCCTTCCTTCCCCTGCCCCAAAATCGAACCTGCTGCTCTTTCTCCAGTAGAAAATGCTGAGAACAAAGTCCTCTCTTCTGGCCCTTGATGAATGCCTGCCTGCCTGCCTGCATTAGGAGGAAGAGCTGAAGGCTGAATTGAAGATGCTATGGGATGCTAGAGTCATAAATTATTGATCTCCTATAGATGAGTCTTATGATCTGCATGATACTAACGAGTCTCTTCTATATCTTGGGGGCTCCTCCTGGGGCAATACCAGGTGTTACTAAGTTTGGCATTTTAATGCTGGTTTTCAGGGTTTCAGAGGGGAACTCGCGTCTTAACTCGATCCAAGCTTGAGGGGTTCCCCGTCCCCAGTAAACGCTGCCCCAGATGCTCACTGGGCTGGTGTTATAGCAGGTATCTGCTTTCTCTGTGGCTCTCCCAACCCTGGCATCTCTTAAGTGAACCTGAAACTGTTCTGACAGCCTGGTGCCAACCCTAGGCCTCGCACGGTTGCTTCTCCGCATGCCTTAGCAAACACGAGTCAAGGGGTTGGTTTGCAAGCTCTGGGGAAGAAAATCCGGCAGCGACTCCAATAGCAGCGAAGGAGGTGAATGCAGCAGTGACTTCAGCTGCATGGACTGGAGGGGAGTTAACCTGCCTGGCCGAGAAACAAGCAGAGCTGATTCTTGGTACATGGTGGCAAGTTTTGTGGGATTTGCCATCTTGGGCCCAGTTTCTGGCATCATGGGAGCAGAGGAGAAGCTCAGCTCTTCCAAAAGGGAGTTTCCAGCGCTTGCAGCTGCAGGGAAGATGGCGCTGGGGCGGGAGGTGGGGTGAGGAGAAATGTAACCAAAAAAGGCAAAGTCCACATCTGGACTCTAAAAGCAGTGTTGGGCCTGGGTATTAACCCCCTTCATATCTGGGGGCTTGATGCATGACTCTAAAAGCAGTGTTGGGCCTGGGTATTAACCCCCCCCCATACCTCTTAGTGGTTCTGTTGGTGACTTGCTTGTGAGTTCACGCACAGCTCATCTGGTCCAGGCTTGCTGCTCCCCCATATTGCAGGAGAGCTGGTCTTGGATCAGGCAGCTTCCCCCTCTGCTTGTGCCAGACAGATCATACACTCACAGCCAGTGTTTCCTGTAAGCTGGGCTCTTGGGTGGCTACCTAGGAGAGATTCAGATGTTGCCCTGCTGATTAACAGAGCGCCTTCAGCTGGCAGCATGTCTGTGCTTGTGGTGCACATCTGCACAGGCCTTGGTGCATGTAACAGAACTTGTTCTGCACATGGATGGAAACAGCTGGGGGGGGGGGGGGGGTGTGGGGGGGGTGTGGGTTTTGTGGGTGGGGTTGGGGGTGTGGGGGGGGGGGTGGGTTTGGGGAGGTGACTCCATACCAGTTGAACCAGCCTACCCCCCATGGGGAGAAACAAAGGGAGATGGAATGCTGCCCTGGCTGGGGGCAGGGCTTGGAGAGGGGGAGTTGGTTCCTGGCTGGAAAGCAGGGGAGAAGGAACTGGGGAAGGGGCTGGGATTCCCCTATCTCAAGGGGGGCACTGAGGCTTCTTAGCCCCCAGTTCCTATAACTAGATTACATCTGTGCTGTATCGTGAAGAAGCAATAAACCACCCTCAATTCTACTGGCTGGTGAAGTCTGTTCGTGCCATTCCGGGGCTGCAGGAGACTGGGGAACCCCAACGCGCCGTCACAGGGGGTGCAAAGCTGGGCTGTTCCCCAGGAGCTGTAGGGAGCTGAGCTGCAATGGGCTATTAAACAGCATGGAGCGAGGGTCCCGGTGGCTGTGAACAGCCAAAGTTCAGCTGCCAGAGCCCGGAGGAGAGAGCCAGTGGGGGAGGCCCAGTGTCCCAGCCCAAGGCTGCAAGCTGAGCTGCTCCCACTGCTTGGTTCTCGTCCCCGCCTCCGCTACCAGCCCATCCCCGTCCTGCCAAACGCGCCCTGCACTGCCCGTCCGAGGTGGTGACGAAGGGCACAGCTGGGATCCCAAGTGGCCTCCTGTAGGAGTGAAGGGGTCCCCTTCTCAGTGCCCTCCCCTCACCTGCCGGGTGCTGCCACATGCCCTGCTTTGACGGGGCTTCCATCCCGTGCAGGGGCTAGATGGCTGAGCGCCCCACTGTACAAACAGTGCCAGTGCCCCGCCCCGGGCTTAGATCTGCCCCTGCCCAGTGGCTGGGAGAGGGGTTAGAATCATGGAGCTGGCAGAGACCTCAGGAGGCCAAGTCCAGCCCCCCGCCCGAGGTGGGACCAACCCCAACTCAATCAGCCCAGCCAGGGCTTGGTCAAGCCCAGATGTAAACCTCTGGGGTGGCTCAGCCGAAGCGGCCTTGTTCCTCCCTTGCATCTGACAGCAGCTGCTTGTCTTGTTCCCGGGCCTCCCCGGCTTTCCCTGTAGGGCGCCCGGGTGTGGGTCCCTGACGCCCAGGAGGTCTGGAAGCCTGCGGAACTAACCAAGGGCTACGAGGAAGGGGACGGCTGCCTCCACCTCCGACTGCAAGATGGCTCGGTAAGGCAGGGAGCTTTCTGGCCCTACATGGTCTAGCAGAGGGGGGCTGGCTTCTCTGCCCTGAGGCTCCTCTGCCCCTTCCGCAGGACACGCCTGTCTGGCATGGTCACTGGCTCCGAGCACAAGTGGCCGGGGATTAGGGTGACCCCAGATCTGGGCTTGGGTAAGCAGCTGCTGCTTCTGCCAGGTGGGAGGGGAGGTCCCAGCTTGCCTCTGTCAGAGGCCTCCTAAATGCCTTCTAGGCTGGGCTGCTGATCTCCCACGGCTTCCCTCCTCTCAACAGGAGCTGACCTGCCCCGTCGGCCCCCAGCTGCCCTTCCTGCGCAACCCCGACTACCTGTCGGGAGAGAACGACCTGGTGGCGCTGAGCTACCTCCACGAGCCGGCCGTGCTCCACACGCTCAGGGCTCGCTTCCTGGAGACCAACACCATCTACACCTACTGCGGTGAGCGCCCGCCCCCTCAGCTAGAGCAGGCTCCCGGGGCTCTTCTGTGCTGGCAATGGGGGAGTCCTTGAGCTCTGACTCCAGTGGCTGGGGAAGGGGCGTGAAGGCTGGACCCCGGGTTCCATGCCTGGCTTTCCAGGTGATGGGAGACCAGACAGGCTCCTAACCGCCTGTCCCCACACCAGTGGGAGGGGCCTTCTCTCTCCCCCTCCAGCTGCCATTTTCCAGCAGGCAGGATTTGGGCATGGTGGGGAGGTTCATGCCAGTGCCTTGGAGACAGCCAGTTAGCACAGTGGCTGTGCACAGCACATACCAGCCTAGGCGCACCTCCGAGCTGGCTCCAATGCCCCATCCCACCCTATAGAGCTTCCTTTGAGGTGCTCAGGGGTCCCCCCCTGCAGTCAGCATCTCCTGCCCCACCTCTCTGCTCCCTGGAGGAGCTTGACTGTTCATTTCACCCCTCGGCCCCAGGTATCATCCTCGTTGCCATCAACCCTTACAAGCCGCTGCCCATCTACGAGGAGCCGGTCATCTACGCCTACAGCGGCCAGTGCATGGGCGACATGGATCCCCACATCTTCGCCGTGGCCGAGGAGGCGTACAGGCAGATGTCCAGGTGAGCCGAGCACCTGCTGGTGTGTGTGCCCCTCACCTGCTCTGTGCCCACCTGGAGTGACTGGGGGGCTGTGTCTAGACTGGCCACTTTTTTCCGGAAAAGCCGCTGCTTTTCCGGGAAAAACTTGCCAGCTGTCTACACTGGCCGCTTGAATTTCTGCAAAAGCACGGACGATCTCATGTAAGATTGTCAGTGCTCTTGCGGAAATACTATGCTGCTCCCGTTCGGGCAAAAGTCTTTTTCCGAAAAACTGTTGCACAAAAGGGCCAGTGTAGACAGCAGAGACTTGTTTTCCGCAAAAAAGCCCCGATCACGAAAATGGTGATCGGGGCTTTTTTGCGGAAAAGCGCGTCTAGATTGGCAGGACGCTTTTCTGCTAAATCTAGACATGCTTTTCCGAAAATGCTTTTAACGGAAAACTTTTCTGTTAAAAGCATTTCTGGAAAATCGTGCCAGTGTAGACGTAGCTGGGCAGAAGAAGCCCTGGCTGCTCTGGGCCCCTGGCTCTCTAATGCTGCATCCCCCAGGCATAGCGGTGGACTGTTGCCCCTCGTGGAGCTGCCAAGGGGACTTAAGCTATGTTAGGAGCTTGTGATCGTGTGTAGTAGGCTCCATGCTGGAGGTCTCTAGAGCCTGCCCCGCTCCAGTAAAAGGCGGTGGAGAGGGTCCTCCAAGATGCCTAGAGAGGCCATGTTGGATGCAGCCAATCCAGGCCCGTTTAAAGGGAGCTGCAGGGCCAGAGAGTCCAGTCTGCCAGCAGGGACGGGATGAGGGGTGCTCCTGGCTGGCTGAAAGGGCTGGGCAGAGCCATTACTGGCAGGGACCAGGGGAGCCAGAAAATAGCTTTTGGCTTGTGCTGGGACTCCCTGCAGCCAGGCATTGAGGTGGCCTAGAAATGTAGAGCAGCAGTTAATGGGACACAGCCCGTGGCTGCTGCACTAGGGCAGGATCCGGAGCTGTGGGCGGCAGCAGGGAGAAGTGACTCTGGGCAGAGGAAGGGGACTGGAACTGGCCATGCAGGGGAGGTGGTGGGGCAGGCTGCAGGGCACCAGTGGGGTGGTGGGGCAGGCTGCAGGGCACCAGGGAGTGGGTACTGCGGGAGGGGGGTTGGGGTGTGTGTGACTTGGCCGGAGGGCTGTGGCGTGACCCTCCTGACTGGTGCGGGGGCCCTGAGGGTAGAAAGCTGCAGGCATGGGGGTGAGCTGCTCAACCAGGGGGCACTGTGCCACCCCGTTCCAGATCTCCAGTAATGCCACAGGGCAGGCAATCCGGGGCAGGGGTCGGCTGGTTTCCTTGCTCAGGGGAGAAGAGGTGAAATTGGAAGTCCAGGACCCAGGCGTGGCAGATGCCAGACCCAGAACTGTGCTGCCAAGCCCTGGCCAATGGGAGGAACCCGGTGCCCCCTTGGAGCAGTGCAGCGCTCAGGAGCGATGGAGGCCGAAAGGCAGTCGAAACCGGACACCTGCCTTGCTGGAAGCCCTGAGTCAGGCCAGCAGGGGCAAGACTGACCCACAGTAGAGCAACGCCCTCAGCAACCCCCATCTCCTCCTGGGGCCAGGAAGCCTAGGGCTGTGCGCCTCTTGCTGGGGGGCAGATGGCCTGCCCCTACAGTGGGGGAGTTGGCTCCAACAGGTGCCTGAGGGGAAGGGGTGGACTAGGGGCTGGCCTCCCCCAGCCCTGTCTTCACCCATGTCTGGGGGCAAAGTCCAGAAGAACCAAATACAGTGGAAGCAGTGGGGGTCCCTGAACTCCCCATTAAATTCTGGAGAGAAACCCAGTCTGTTCGGCCCATCGGTATTCAGGGCTGGGGTGCTCTCGGATTCTAGAGAACCCATAAGGCTGGATGGGAGAGTCTGAAATGGCTGAGACTGGCTCCTTGGCCGCTTGTCTCTCCCTGGAAGCACATGGAGCAGCTCTGTCTGGGGATGGGCATGTTGTGGTTTGAGGCTCCTTAAATGAAGGACTCTCCCAAACTCTGGTTTTCCACCTGCTGGGCCCTGGAGGGTTCTCCTGGCGCTTCTAGAGCAGACTCTAGGGCAGGGGTGTCCAAACTTTTTTTCAAAGAGGGCCAGATTTGATGAAGTGAACATGCGTGAGGGCCGACCCTTTTGCCGGACATTCTTTGAACCATTAAAATTAAATGCAAATTAACTATTTTATGCAAAGCTTATTGCAAACGGCATACTTTTCATTTCGTCACATGGATGACAAATCTAAACAGGTGTTAAATCACTCGGCCCTTCATATCTGAAGGCCAGAGGAAGGAAAAAATCCAGGAATCTGAAATCTGTCAGGAACATTGTAAAGTACATTACATATTATTGGTAATAAAGGTTGTCTGTCAACTTTTAAGTTCAAAAAATATGAACAGGAACATAACACCAAGTATACATGTTGTGTCCAAATATATTTATAACTGATTTAGACCAACTGAGATTTTACAATGTATTCATCTCAATACATATGGATTCGTTGGGGGCCATAAAAGATAGATATTGCCAAATTTCCTGTGGGGCCGTATTAAACCGGAACACAGGCCGCAATTGGCCCGCGGGCCGGACTTTGGACATGCCTGCTCTAGGGGCTTCTCTTGGCCCCGACTCATGGGCAGCTCTCCCAGCTGGGCCCCGTGGGGTGGGGTGGGGCAGGCAGCTGCTGCTGGCAAGGGCCCCTTCCCGCTGAGTCCCGTCTCCCATAGCAACCTTGCCGCCCGCAGGTACAGCAGGGACCAGTCGCTGATCATCAGCGGCGAGTCGGGGGCTGGGAAGACGGCCTCGGCCAAATACGCCATGCGGTACTTTGCCACCGTCGGGGGATCGCTGAGCGACGCCGGCATGGAGGAGAAGGTGCTGGCTGCCAGCCCCATCATGGAGGTAGGTGCCGCTTTCCCGGGTGCGCCCAAGAGGAGGGAGAAGCGAGGGCCGTAGGTGGGGAGAGGGATCTGTGTGGCCTCCAAAGGGGCTGTGCTCTGAGGTGGGGGGGGAGGGGGGAAGGGTCCATCTTGTAACAGTGAGCAGCAGGGTTCAAACTCAGTTGAGACTGGGCTGTAGTGACCCCCTCCCACTGCTCCTGGGCTTCCCTGGCTCCTTGGGGCCGCAGGCGTGGGCTTTGCCGGAGGGCTGGGCGCTGCAGGGTTTGGCCTGGAGGGAGATGCTCCTCCCTGCCCCCAGGAAGCATGCAGCTGCCCTTGGCACACCCTGCCTCTCTGGGGGCTGAGGGAGGGGCTCTTCCTCCTGGGCAGGGAGTCTCTGGAGCAGCCTGGCTGGGGGCCTGGGGTGCATCACTCGCTCTCAGGCTTCCCTTTCCCTTGCTGGGCCACGGCTCCCCCC